TCACACACACAAACACACACAAAGCCGAAGAAATGCACAAGTTCAATCAAAAACAACTCTATTTTATTCAGTATTGTTGCCAGAGCAACCGCCGCGCTTTGAACGCAGATTCAATTACACAAAGCCAGAATTTTGATTTAGGTGGATTGCATAATTATTATACCCTGTTTTTTTTGTTAATTATTTCAAGCAGTTATAGCGGGGAGAATTATTCATAAATCACAGTCACATAGACGTGGTGTGAACAGAAAAACAAACTCAACCAAAGTTTAAGAACAAAGGCATACGACTTTTAAATACCCTGCAGAAAATTGCTCACTACAAAATTTAACTTTGGATTACAGCTCTTAACAGTACCGGTTAACATTTTTATGTAATGTTTAACAGTCATCATGGCGAAAAAACCCTATGGAGGTGCTGCAAGCGCAGTCAACATTCGCCTTATTATTTTTGTCTCACTTTAAATAGTTTTTGTTACCATTTTTATGTTATCAGACCAAATGTTAGGGCATGCATCAAACTTTGTTTAGTTGTTGAGCTTCCGTTTATTTGTTTGCTTGACGCAGGGCATACAAAGCGTGGTTGGAAATTATGAATTTTCATAGTTGGAGACAAAGACAAACACCGAAGCAGACGAAAATGCAGCCAGACAGGAGTCAAATAATTAATGGCTCTGGCCGGGGCGCCGGGGCAAGGGGCAAACACGACGACTTGTGCGAAAAACAAACAAAAACACGCAAAACAGATTTGCATGCAGCAAACGCAGAGTTGAATGAATATAAATTCGGAATGGGAGACACGATGGCACATGTGGCAGGCGGGCGCAGTGTAGGGTAAAGGAGGAATAGGAACTGCTCGTCGGTTGCCTTGGATGCCGACGGTAGCTTGTTAGTAGCCAGGCCAGGCCAGGCCAGGCCAGAGCAAGAGCAGGGCATGTCTAGACTTTAAGTTGGCTAATAGCCGAGGCTGCATCCTTTCAGTTGAAGCTCGTTGAAATTTGGTTTTACCAATTTTATTTCATTTGATTTTTTTTTTTTTTTGGCGGGCAGTCGTTGGCCAGGAAATTTGTACTAAACCGAATTTACGCTCTTTGTATTACTTATTTGGCTCCATTATTTGTACAGATGAAGTCAACCAAAGCGCGTTGAGCTGCTCTCGACTGTGGACTCTGGACCCTTGGCCCGGCTTGGCCCGGCTTGGTCTGGTCTGGTTTGGTTTGGTTTGGCTTTCGCTTTTATTTTGGCCCGTTGGCTTTGGCCTTTTGTGTGACGTTCTCTTTTTTTCTTCTGACCAACCGACCCTGCACTTGATAATGAAATATAAACGTGGCAATATGTGAGAGAGTCTGCCTGTGGCCTGTGTGTGTGTGTGTTGTGAAAAGCCGGCAGCATAAAGCTTAACCAGAAAACAAAGAAAACTAAAGAAAACGAAAAACGCATACGACAAAAAAAAAGCAACCTGGCAGGTCCTTCAGTAGCCGCAACAACAAGGACTTCATTTGGCGTTCGACGTGCCACACACTCAAACACACACGCACACACACACACCTAGAGCGCGAAAGCATAAATTAATCCGATTTAAGCAGCTGAGTAGCTTATTTTTATGCTCCTCCATCAGCGGTCAGTTTCAGTTGATTTTACTTAATGAGCAGCCCGCCACTTTGTTGGCCCTTTTAAATAAGTCCCCCCCCCCACGCATACACATATACACACCAGTTGACGGTGCTCAGATTTTGTTGTCTAGCTGACATTATTATGTTGGGTCCCGAGTGGTAATGCTCACTTTCTGCTCAGTTGCCACTCGATGCGGCATCATCAGCCGCATCCACATCCACATCCACACCAGATTCATCAGCGTGCGCATCCTGGCAACGCGAGCTCATTACGTGCCACGTCAGGCACACCTCGACGTGGCAGCAAAGTTTTAACGCACTTGCAACAGCTGCTGTTGCAGCAGCTGCCTCAAGTGTGGCCCATTCTAAGTTCAATTGAGCTTAAAGTGTTCAAAAGGCGCCAAGCCGTACAGCTGACGGCTGCAGTCAAGATCCCCGACTCGGCAGAGACTTAGAGAGGTCCAGAGACAGCCAACAGGCAGCTCAGCCCGGGCTCAGACACCTTTTTGTTGCAGACAAACAAATAAAGCAAAGTGCTTTTCAATAAAAATTCGAGGAAGGGGGTTGAGATTGGGGACTGCACTCAAATCTCTGCAGCAAATGCAGTTTGTTTTCCTAGTTAAATTATTACTACTCGTTTCTCTTTTTTTTTTTTTTTTGTTCAATATCAGCGCACAAACATTTCGCATTGTTGTGGAATTTATGTTGCGTGATTTTGGCATAAATAACAACAAATTTGCAAGCGAACACCCTAGGCTAAAGGCAACGCAGAGGTTGTATGCGACTAGACGAAAGAATATATTTAATATTAATACCTGATTTGAGTTACTATGTAAATTTTCTTCTTTTTTCAATTTTCATTTTTAACAATAATTAAACTATCCATCTAACATTATCTATAGCTTCAGCTACTGTGGCATTAGGTTAAAGCAAGACTGCAGCCTGCACTTGCCTGGGATTTGAACCGGCAACCTTCGACAGCTCATTTAGCGGATTAGCTAAGTATTTTGTGGCCAATTAAAGAAAAAGCTCTCTATGTTTTCTAGGGTATAAAGTCTTTGTCATGCCTGCTCCGACATATACTTTTCTGCAATCAATTCTAGCATATCTCTTAGTCCATCACATAAATACAATTCACGTTTAAGTTTTGGATATTTTTTTTTCGCATTGCACTCTGCCCGCTAAATTGGCCAAATAAAAGCTACTAACTGCTAATGGCTTTTACTCTGTGGTATTTTTTGACTTGCTGTTGTTGTTGTTGTAATGTGTGTTGGCTAGCCGGAAAACATTGTTTGTTGGCCAGTTTGATGGCGCTCCTAATTGACGTCAACATGGATTGTCATTATTTTTATGCACTAATTGACGCAGGGGCAACATTTTATGCATTGCAACCAATTAATTGATTTAAAGACCAATTATTATATATGCAAACAGACCGCAGCAGCAGACACAGTCCAACAAATCGCTGGGTATTCAAAATATATATTTATATATTTAAAAAAAACAAACTGGCAAAAACATCGCACTTGGGCATTTTTGAAATTGGAATCGCGTTTTAAATAGACCGAGAGACGGTCGCATAGCATTGACATAAATCAGCCCAACGAAACGGCTGTTTAAATAGAAATTGTGCTTTTCTATAGTATTGCCACGCCCACCTGCGACAGCCTTTTGGCAAACCCACGCCCACGCCCACTCTTCGGCCCATTAGCAGCTGAACTAATTTGTAATGCCAAAGTAAACAGAAATTTGTTGTTTTTGGTGCTTTTGGTGCCGTTTGAAAATGTCAACGAAATAAATTCCGTGTGGCATAATAAAATATTTACACACATTGGCAAATGCTGTTACGCTCAAACAATTACCAAAGCTTGTTGTTGTTATTGTTGCGGCTGGGAGATAAACAATAATATTGAACTAGAATACATTCTTAAATTCAAACATTTTTCTAGTCGCAACGTAACATAATTAAAGCCATCCAATTTATGAAGAACAATTTGTACAATATGCCATCAATATATAAAATGTTGACATTGAGCTGACAGGCGCTTGACATACGCCTATCTATAAATATGTGCATGAGTCGAACTCTTATCTGCGCTGCGCTGATTCACAACCAGCCCTGAATACACTCGAAACCATATTCACAGCGTAACCGGCAACAGTTTGTCACAGTTCGAGGGGTCAGTGCGAGGCAATGATTCATGTGTCCACTCGACAGACATGCCTGAGTGGCGAATGCGAGTGCCGAATGCGAGTCATTCGATTGACAACATGGCATCAAATGCACTCACTTCAAAGTCAAAAGAGCGTGAGATTGGCTCTAATCAAATTCCAAAAACTGAAATACTTTATTAGTTTCGAGTAGCTGAAATGCAGCTTTGCCCGAGCTTTGAACCAACTAAATTGAATTGGCTGCCAACAAGTGTTGCCACTTAAAGCTTTCCCTCTCTCTCTATCTCTCCCTGCTTCTATATTTAAAAGCCATCAAACTGGCACTGCTTTAAGTTAAATAACTTTCAGCCACAAATGTTTGGCAAATTAATTGAATTAAAGCTGTACAAGGTATTCAAATTTAATGCTCCATCTGTGGCCTGACCCAGTTGTAAAGGCCATAAACATAATCTCTCTGGCGCATAACTCGTATTCATATCTCTATTCTACAGTTTTGCAAATAAAAAATCATATCTCGCATACTTTTTTGCAAGGCAAACATTAACAGCCCCCCATAAAGCCATAAAGCTCATAAGTGTATACATATGTCAATATGTAGCATATATAAATATAGATAAAGTTATTAATCCTACACAAGTGTGTACACACTTATACACACACACACACACATGCACACGCGTTGAAAGCTTTAAACTACTAAAAAAAAACGTATTCCAAATGATTTGGTTGAATTTGAGTGCGTGTCGCCAGAAATGTAAAATTATTAGAAATAATTTATAAATGTTAAACAATTTGTACACAATACATATACACGCGCGCTATCTGTGCATATGTGTGTGTGTGTGTGTGTGTGTGCACATAAAATATCCAAAATGGCAGCAAAGGAAATTTTGTTGGATAATGGTGAGTAAAAGTTTTCGCGTACCGTGCGCAAAAACCGCGCGCGAAAAAAAAATAAGAAATCGCTACAAATTTATTTATAACAAAAAACAAATAGCAACAAAAAAGAAATCCGCATTTAAATGCATAAATAAATTAACTGCCAAGCTAATATGTATATATTTTTTCCACCCAATATCTCTTTTGCTTTTTTCGCTGGCCAATTTCGAACCACGAAAATATTCCGATTGGCAACACAATTGAAATTGAAAGCAAATCTGAGCGTTGATAATTGAATCTGCCCACTTGTCGAGCCCAGTGTGGGCGTGGCACTTACCTTTTGCACTAACAGCGGCTGGGCAAAGTCCACACCGCCCTGCAGGCGAAATCCCCAGGGCTGGGCATCGAAACGTGACAATTTGATTTGCAGCAATTGTGGTTGGGCCATTTTCCTATTGCACTAAGCCGGAATTTGTTGAGGGGATGCGGGGGGAGCTGTAAATGGAGCAAGACAAAAGTCAGTTATAAGTAGATGCAATGCAACAGCGGAAACAAATGGCGTATACTTGATATCACGTAGCCGACTAATTAATATAAATACAAAAAGCAAAAAAAGATCAACAAAATAGCTGAAAACAAAAGCGCAAAATATATAAGAAACACAGTCCGAAACACAGGCAGCTCCCACGTGCCACACACTAATAAAGACATTATTCGGGCATGCATACAACATGCTAATCCCGACTGCCATGCCACACAATTCCTGTCCCAAGTCCTGGCTCTCTCTCTCTCTCGCTCTCACACTCTATCTCTATCTCAAGTCCTATTCCTATCTGGCCAGTTTTGATCTTTGCGGCAGCTGCAGCTGCCGGCGCATTCTCGCATGCGAAAAAAAAGAAGAAGCTTCTCCAGTGCCAAGCTGCCAACATACTTTCGGCTGATGTTGGGCAACAGCAACAGAACATGACTTGAATAGTACACTAGCAAATACCCTATCTTTCTATGGTAATAAATAAGCAGACTATGGATAAACCTCTTTTTTTATTTTTCCAATTGTGTGGAACGTGGCCAGCTAGTCAAAAAGTGAAACACCTTAAACCTGTTTATACTCAGCAAAAATCTACATGCCAAATTTTATATATATTAAGACATTATGTCTCACAATCGATATTTATCGATAATATGATACTGACAAGAGATATTGGTATTCCATATTATATATTTAAATTAATAAAATTACATTAATTTATATATAGATTAAAGGTTTTTCAAGCACAAGCCAATATACCCGACAGCCTTTAGCTGCGCATGAGCATAAAACATAAAACGAGCTAAACTTTGTTAGATATCGCCTTTTTTTCTTCAGCCTGTGCACACACTGAATGCCACTGTGCACGTGCACACACACACACACACACACACACACAGTGTGTGCAAAAAGTGCACTCATTGAGTGCACATGGAACCGGGGGCCCAGTTATATGTAAGTGTGGCTTACATGGCTTTTTTCCTGGTTATAGTCGTCATGGCTGCTTTGTAATTTGCACAGCGTATGTGTGTGTGTGTGTGTGTGTGCCGGTGTTGGAGTGTGTCTGTTGATTTAGTTTGCTGCATAACAATTTTGCTGAGTGTTGTGTTTTTTATTAGCAAAGACGCCCACCAGCCCAGCCCAGGCCAGGCCACGCCAGCCCCATGGTTACCCATGCCCAGCTCAGTGCAGCATGGAAGGAAGACACTCAAAGTGGAAGTAACTACATTAAGCTATTAAAACGACAGCAGCTGCCAGCTACAAAGGACAAGGACACGGCAACGAGTCTACGGCCACTTGCAGGATATGCCACACACAAACCAACACACACACACACGCACACAGAGATAGAGAGAAACAGAGACACATTTTAGCACACACAGCAGTTTAATTAACGTTAAGTGCGGGTGGTAATAGCACCAGCTCGATCCTCAAGTCCACAGCATGTATAGAGAACCAGAGAGAGGTAGCGAAAGAGGGGGCCCTCTCTCCCTGAGAGGGGGGCCTTGAGTTGGCCCATAACACGGCAGCATTTGCATGTAAATGCTTTGCCGCCGCCATGTGAAGTTGCCCCATTAGGCGGCACGGCAACGTATGCACATGCACATGAAATAATTTAATTAAAATATTAAATAAATGTGAAAAGCCAAAAAGAGCTGCGCCAAGTGCCCCAAACACTGGCACTGAATAAACGCGCCGCAAAACGGAAAGTGTGCAAGCATAAACGCCACCTGAGTGAATCCTGAGATTCCAACGCATACACACCAGTGTATGTGTGTCTGTGTGTCTGTGTGTGTGTGTGTGTGCGAGTGTAAATGTGTGTGCTGGCTAATTACTGGCATTAGAATTGAGGTTTAATGGTCTCGCCCCAAACATATGCATAGGTATGCGAGTATGTATGTGGATGCTAATAGCCAGCTCAACAACTGTTTAGAGCATTAGAGCTCAAGAAATATGGAACAGTGGAAAATGGACTCGAAAATAAATGGATAACTATACTAACAAATATAGAACAGTTGAAAATGGACTAGCGGCTAAATGGAACAGTGGAATATGTGGAAGAATGTCAAAGTATCACAACACTAATCAACAATACTCTTTCTCTAAGTTACTCCCTTTAAGTATATTTAGGTCAGGAACTAAGGAATATGAAACACTGGAATATGGACTGGTACACAAATGGAATATGGGGACATGCGGAAGAAGGTTATTATTTATACCAAAACATTTACAAACTACACGCTTTCTTTAACATTCTCTCCTTAAGTATATATAGGTTAGGAGCTACGGAATATGGAACAGTGGAATGTGAATCAATGGAATAATGGAACACGGGAATATGTGGAGTAATGTTATAATTTATACCAAAACATGTAAAAGCAACTCTTTTCCGTCAAGATACTCCCCCCATTAAGTACATATAAGCCATTAGCTAACGAATAGTGGAACAGTGGTTTGTGAACCAATGGAACAACGGAACACTGGAATAAATGACATAATGTAATTTTCTATACCACACCATTTACATACAACTCTCCCTATTTAACTCGTAATAGTTGTAAAAACAACAATACATTATAATTGATAGCTTTATCCGCATTTGGGCGACAAATATGTCGACTTCCTGGCTGTCAGTTTTAACCTGTCAACTGGGCGAACCTAGCAACGTTTACAGATATCATTAATAAACTTATCCCCAATCCATTGCAGCTTTATGACTAATAATCAAATGCCAGCTTATGAGCGGCGAGCAGGCACGGATACCACGTATCTTATTTCCTCACATAACGAAACGAACCAGACATTTTGCAAAATAAACAAGCAGAAAGCTCTGTGCCCATATGTAGATACAAACGTATCTGTAGCTGTAGCTTTTGCTGTGGATATGTGACAGCTTGTGGCTGCAACAAACTTATCGCTAATAAGTTTTACACACAATTGGCAAATTAAAATTTATTTATATGCAGTCAAGAGCCAGGGGAGTGGCACAACGGAGCGTGGCGTTAAGGGAGCGCGAGGGGTCTGCCATTCGTCATGCTGTGCCTGCTGAATTTTGCATGGCAATTGCGACCGGGTGTCGCAGTTGCTGGTGTTATTATTGCTGTTGACGTTGGGAACGTGGGTATTGGTATTGATATTGACCAGGAGCGGATTACCAATTGCCAGGTTAAAAAACAGGCCAACAAATCTGAATTTAACTGAAGCAAAACATGGCCAATTAGTAGTTGGAAGCAATTTAAGCTGAGTTGCCAGAACTAATCTGAAGATTGTATTTGATCTTCTCTTTGCAAGCTCTGCCAAGTCCGCTCCTGCAGCCAGGCCAGGCCCCCCTTGTGGCACAAGCAGCCGTTGCATTTCATTTCATTTGATTCACGGAAAGCAACAAATCAATTTGCATTCGGTAGTTTGGGAGATTTATGGCATTATGGCATGTTTGTGTGTGCATATCATTTTTGGGCGTGGCTTTTACGCCGCATGTAAAAATATTTAAAAAAAAAAAAAAAAAAAACAGAACAGAAAGCCAAACATTTAAGCCGAATCGCCTTAGGGGAAATTGAATGAAAATGCGGCAACAGCTCGGAATTAAAGCGAAAACCAAACAAGCATCGAATTGATTTCTGACGCACACATTTTGTGCCATTAGCACTTTTGGCTTAGGTTTGACCAACTACTCCAATCGTTCAATCGTTCAATCGTCCAATGGTCCGTTCCATCTCGCATTTTGTTGACCCGCATAAAGCAAATGACCGACCGGCCCCTAATCGAGCAGCCACAACAAAAACAACAACAACAATGAGAAGCCAAGCAAAGTGTAGAAGCCAACGCACTCAGCCCGAAACCTCAGAAACTCAACCGAAAACCAAAAACCAAAAACCAACTGAAGCATCCACTGGCCACCGCGGATCGTTGCCTCTTTTAACGCTGATGATGTCATGCGGTAGGGTCAGCGGGTGGGGACAACTGAAAACTAGCAGCCGGCAGCCGGCAACTGGCAACTGGATACGGCAATTCGGTTTGGGGATTTCGCACGCTGCTCAAAATCTTTGTAAATAATGAAGCACAATTTGTGATACCCTCCAAACAACGGCACGACCAGCTGGGCTATGCACAATGCCAGACACTCAAATAGACTTGGCTGTTGGCAGCAAAAGCATTTAGTATTAAGAAACCATTTGAATACAGGGTAGCCCCGATGTCTTGCTAAGGCCAAAATTCAAACATGTTTAGCTGCGGCTTTTCGTTTCTTTTTCCATTTTTTGTGTGCTTGTTTTTTTGATTCGTTTACTTTTTTTCTGTTCGATTTCAATGATTAGATTTGGGCAGTGAGAGATAACTTGGACTCTGAAGTTGGAGGCTATTTTTGCCGAAATACCGTTGCGATTTAGTGCCAGTCATAAACATAGATATAGATATAGAAATACCTACACATATATGGATCAGAATATGGATATACGTATATATGGATACAATAGGACAGCGTAGGCAAGATGGATTATACAAATAAATACATTATAGATACGTAGATAGATAAATAGATGGATAGAGTGATAGATAGACATATAAATAGATATATATATATAGATAGAGAGATAGATAGATATACAGATACATATAACGGATAGATATGTAGATGCATTTAACATGTCTGCAGGCCTAGCAGCAAAATTGTCGCTGCTTTGATTCATATTTAAGTTTGGCTATTTTTTTAGACTTGGTTTAAGGTTCGATTCTAGTTCATAGAGTATATTAGAATTCCGGCTAGCAGCTCTTTAGGTATTGATATTTATTTATAGGTATTATTACGAAAAGCTCAAAACCCACGACAACAACGATTGACAAAGTCAGCGCTCAATAATCAATCAAATAATTATTTAAATCAAGCAAAGTATTTAAAAAAATAAATAAAGAAATAAAACAAATAGAAAGATAAGTGAACACATTACACGTTATTCGGCTTTAATGAGGC